TAAGTTATGGGAGTTTGGGGGAAAAAATGGAGGTAAAGGCACATTTTCCATTGAGCTTATACCATTTTATCAGTAATTACACATACAAAAAGAAAAGTCACCATTTCAAGTATGATCACAAGCACCCTTTCTCAAAGACAAGACGCGGCTGTAAATCTGACTCAGGTTGGTTTCACCTCTGTTTGAGTGGTGGCCCTGTGACAGATTGCACCTTACACCTTTATATGCCACAGTTGGAATTGTGATGGGTTTCACTTATCAAATTGCTCATTAGACTGTAGAGAGACATCAAGCATGTCGGCAGCACAGGTGTGGTGGCCCCACCTAGTGACCCAGACAGCCAGAAGTACTCAATTAGCTGATTAATTGCTCTCATTGTTCTTCACTGGCCTTAAAGCTGTTTGCCATAATAATTTTACAGCTACGCAGGTGCTGTTGTGATAAAGGCTACTTTAGTGGAGACAAGAACAATTTCAAAGTACTTAATAGGCATCACTCATTTAGTTAGAATTGCTGTTATTCTGTTTGTTATGGTTGGTTGCTGTGGAAGTTGTCTGGTTATGAGAGTGATAAGCCCAAGTGTCATTTTCTCCCCCCCCCCACACCCATAGTGTTTTATAGGAGTGTGTCTTTGAAGTAACCTCTCCATTGACTCCTGGAGAGAGATGCAGACTTAAGATAACTGACAGTACATTTAATAGATTGAGACAATAAAGAACTGGGCAGACACCGCTCTGCCTTTCCATCAAAGAACAAGTGTATTCACCCACTTTCGCGCTCACAAACAGACATGTATGCACACGCTCCAGCTCAAACGTGCACCTCGACTTCTCAAGGACAAAAGAGCTGTAGATCACAAGCTCCGATTCATAAACTCTGCCCAACTCTTGTATGAGTCTGCTAACTTCCATCTCACTGACACCTACAATAACATCAGCTACTCTAACAACATGTCATACGTACCTACACACTTCATGCTCCAGGAAACCCAATCACACGAGACAAAGACACAGTACAACTCTCCAATTTTCTCTCACTCAGAGGTGAGATAAATCACATTCTCCTGGCTCCAGTTCTGTCTCAATGTGATTGCAATATGTTTGCAAATTATATTTCATCTCTACTTAGATTTATAAAATGTAATTCCTCTCGAAAGGAATGGCATTAGGGTCAGTGACATGATATTCATTTTTTGGCCTGGATCTATTAACTTATTCCAAAATATAAATAATTTTATTTAAAAAATGTACACTACATACATTATGACTTAAACAAATACAAATAAAATCTATTCAAATATGCAATTTATACATTTAATTTATATAATATACAATGTTTGGAATACACCTCTTCTATTATTTAATCATTATATTTCAATTTCTGAAATAAATCATTTTGATATTTTTTGAGTGCATAAATTAAAAAATGTCAAGGTGATACAACTGTCTTGAAAACATAATCAAGAAAAAAATGCCTCATTAATAATAAAAACATACATTTCTATAAATTAAGAATAAAATTCTTAATTTGGTATGCTCCTGTATTATTATTAGCATTATTATTTGGTATGGTACTGTATTATTATTATCACTTTTTGTATAATTACACCACATGATTTTTTTGTCAAAAACCTTTCTTTGAAGTACTATAAACGTTTTTCAAAACCATATGAAATTATTTTATACAATTATTAATACATTATTTATTACATTATTAATACAAAGAGTGGCTTTGTGGACATTATGTTGTTGTCCCATCAGGAGCTTTGATTAGTGCAACTGAAATACTGGACAATGTTCACCTGTTTTGCACAATGTGTATAAAGAGTGGGACTGCACCCACTCCGTATACCAAATTATTGCCTTCACTGAAAAACAAACATTGCTGAGGGCCACAGAGGAACATCAATTTCCCATCAGCCCCCCAGTCCATCGTTTAATTTGCTCGGTGGCACCGAACTCACACTGAGGCCAGGGGCCAGGTCTCCCTCATTTACCAGCCTGTGAAATGTCAATATATACTCAAAACAATGGTATTCTGCAGCACGGCCAGGCCTGGGTGCTCTCTCAACTGGTGCAGAAACTATGATGTTAAAAAAAAGAGAGGCTAAAATCCCACTACGTTTGTTGTTTTGGGCACCTGTTTTCTATCTTTGAGAGATATAAGCTCTGAAGGAAGACGTAAGTGGCCATATTGACTCACAATGAGGTGAGTTCCTGTCAGCGCACTCCCAGATGAACAGGTTCTGGGTGATGCTTGACCTGGCTGATGAAAGTTCTAACTGTCCTGTTTATTAAAAGCAGAGATTCAGAAGGGCAGTAGGGCAGAGGTGAGACTTTTAGGGCCACTGGAATGCAGGTGTGGTTATATATCTGTTGTGGACATATATTTCGGACATAACACCGTGACCTTTCATTAACATTTTCACCATCATTAACATAATGCCTGTGTACCCTCTTCATTCTGTGTAGTGTACTGGACAAATTGGTTTGAGATTTTCTTGGTGTATGGAAGCATGCTGTCAAGTCAACTTCTGGATGTTATACATATTGTTTGGTGTGAGAATGACGCTTCACACCACTGACTGAGTGAGAAGATGCTTGCTAAAATAATCACATATTTTACTAATTATGTATTATATATTATGTATATATATATATATATATATAT